TTTTTTTTTTTTTTGTGCTTTTGAGATATTCTTACTCAACTTTGCTTCTCTCATTGTCACAGGGTGGTCATAAACTTCGACTTCCCTACTGGAATCGAGGATTACGTGCACAGGATTGGAAGAACCGGGCGGGCGGGAGCTACTGGAGTTTCCTACACTTTTCTTTGTGATCAAGACTCGAAACATGCAGCCGAACTTGTCAAGCTTTTGGAGGGAGCCAATCAGCGTGTGCCCAATGAGGTCCGTGATATGGCTTCCCATGGTGGTGGACGAGCAAAACGCCAGTGGGGCCTGGGTTCTGGCGGCCACTTCGCCGGAGGTCGTGGGAGGGCTGGTGGTGGCAGGTGGGGAGTGTCGTCATCTCCCGATAGGAGAGTTGGCCGTGGTTATGATCGCGATCCACGTGATAGGTATATTATATTATCTTGTATCAACTCCTCCTTTTTTTTGTTTCTTTCTTTTTATAATTTTAATAAATGATTCATTTTGTGTGTGCTGTGTTATCTGAATAAATGTTCTAATAGTGCTTCCATTCTATTTTACTTTGTCTGTCTGGGTTAAAAAACTTTAATACATAAACTTAACCTGAATGTTTGTCAGTCGAAACCTATTTTCATTACAACTCCTTTTCAGACACGGTTATGTTGTTCCAAGCGGGCATGAAACAATTGCAAACGGAAGCTTTGGTAATAAGAGCTTTCAGGAGAGCATGAATTCTGCTTCCAGGAAAAGAGTCAGGAGTAGAAGCCGAAGCCGAAGTCCCGAGAGATTCAATTCCACACGGAAGGATTTTTATGATTCTATCCCGGGCCGGGCTCGGTCACCACCGCCTAGGAGTGGGCGGGCCTCACATCATCGAGAAGAAGGCATGATAAAAAAGGACAATGGTTGGTTAGGTTGAAGGATATATTAATATTACATTACACATATAAATGTCATTTACTTTGCCTTCTGTGTTGTGACTTGTGTTGTAGCATTCTGAGTGTGGGGTTATTATGTTTTTTCATGATTCACCAAAAATGCTTTAATTCATTTGTAATTTTTAGGTGGGGACTAGAGACTCTCTACTTAGGTGAGATCCCGTTTTGGATGGCTGTTATTTGCCATTACTCGTGTGTAGTGTAATTGCTCTTTGGTTAGCAGGATTTGTTGCTAAATGCAAATTATGCAACGATCTTGGTATGCATTTATCGGGAATGTTGCGTATTATTGTTAGACACTGAGTTTTGTTTAGTTGACCTATACGGATTGCGAAACAAATTGTTTTGTTATTTGTCGTTAGTTATTTCTGTAAGAGAATATACATATATGGGGATAGAAACGGGGGAAAAACAGGTGCGGTGCAACGCACGTGAATTGCACCATGAGCAGATGAGCAGAGAAAGCCATAGATGAACTCCAAGTGGGGTTCAATCTTAAAATCAATTGGTTTTAGGATAGAACCATTTTAAGGCCCTTCTAGGCTCATCATTCTTTGGTGTGCTTTACGTCCGTGGGACTGCACCCGTGAACCACCGTTTCTTCATCCAGTTGGTAAGCTTAAAAGATCTGCGGTGTGAAAACCTGATTATTGCGAAATTTTTATTCATGAATTACATAGTATCAAGAATAATGGTCAAGTTGGGTATGAATAGAGTGAAAAGATAACTAAGGGAAGAAATTTCTTGATGGTGGTAAAAAAATCACGAGTAAAAAAAAAATCATGAAAACATAGCAGACGAAATTGAACATTCGTGTCACGGTCCTTTCGGCTTGTGAGCAGTCCTTTCGACTTTTGGGTCGTATCTGGATGTACATTTGTGGTTATATATGAAATTTCTATCGTTTGAAAAAATAATAAAAAATTGAACATTCGTGTAGGTGATAGTATCCGATATTGAAGGATATTACCGTAGATGATAATTCATATATCATAGCTGCAAATTCACGATGATTATTGGATCAAATAATTCAGCTTTTTGAAACCCGGATAACAAATTTAAGTAATTATTTACTTTTCTAATTGTCACAGTCTCTCCTTGATGATCATAACAATCATTTTATTTGAAAATTTTCAATTTGCTATTGTTACTTGTTGTACCTAGGAATTAGTTAACTAATTCATTATTTAATTTTATTATTAATGCTATCATTTCAAGGGTCAAAGGTCAATTTAAGCGCTGGGAATTTTTAAAATTAACACAAATAGTGTGAAGGCATAAATAGAATTTATCACCCCCATTAAATTACTAATAATCAGTGGCGTCAACTCAAATTTTTAACTTGGAGGCATAATTGCAGAACGAAATTTCTATGGTGAAAATTAAATAAAACACAATTCCATCATATTCAAACGATTTTACGATATTTTATAATTTCATCACACTAGTTTTACACAAATAATATGACATCAAGATAAATAGTGTTCTCAACTTTGTACCATGCATCCATGCATGTTTTAGCTGATAAAGTGCATATTCCATAAGAATTTTTTACCGAAATTTTTTTTAAAAAAAATTAAGTTGTGGAAAAAAAATATTCAAACAAATGAGAGTGGACAAAATAAAAACCCCGTATTCACTGAATACGTTTTATTTTGTAAAAAAATCTGAAAAAACGTATTGTATGGAAAACGTATTTCTTAAATACGTGCTTTTTATTGTTGTCCACTTCCTTTTTTTTCTTTTCTTTTTGTCCACATGTTTTTTTTTTTATTTTTTTTAAT